TTTTTTTTTTTTTTTTTTTTTTTTTTTCAAGTGCTATATTGTTACAGTCCTTGCGGTTTTTGTAGTTTTTTGAAAACTGGTGAACATTCAGGAAAAAAGAACCTGTTTCAAGAGTATTTTGTGTTGTGTTCATTTTCGTGTTCGTTTTCCTTCTCCGTCTGTGTGGAGTTCAGGTATTTCAATCCTAGTTCCTGATATAATCGTTTCACCTTCCGACTGAACTCCAATTAGAGTTTCTTTAAAGCAGAAACTACCATACATTTTTCACAGGCAAGTATCAGCTACCACTAGCAAATAAATTTGTCAGGAGCTACGTATTTCAGGCTTGTGTTAAATACCTGCACAGCACTGAGGCAGAGATTCATAAAGATGCACTGAGCACCTCTTGCAAAGTAAGATTTCAGCCTCCAAGTTAAAATCTCCAGCTCCTCAAATTCTGATGAGCTGTCAAAAGTAAATTATGTGAGAGGAGGAGGGCTCCTGACCTTTGTTCTGCGATGGAATTACAGCTCTGTCTGTGGGTGTGAGATGGAAATAATTTGAGTTTTGTTGCGCCAACAATATTCCTGCTGGGTCCACTTCTGTAGTGGGAAAGCAATCCTGGATACTGGAGGAGCTCATAGCCTGATCTACTTGGATGTAAATCCACAACAGCTCTCTGCCTTTCCCAGAAGGAAACAAGATTAGAGTACGTTCTGTAATTAATCAGTATTTGCTGAGCACCTTCTTCCAGGTTCCTACAGGGTATTGGTGGACTAAACCCGACGCAGAGCAGGATTAGTGCAGCGCTGTCACTGGTTGCTCCCAGTGACATGTTGTCTGAAACGCCTTAAGAGCACAAAGACAAGACGGCAGCAGGACCAGAATTTGGGATTCAAAGCTCTGAAATGTCTTGTCGGTGCCGGTGAAACGGCTGAACAGGCAGGGCTCTGATTTTCATGAGCAGCTTGTAGGTCTGTGTACCTCAGCAGCCTTCTCAGCACGGAGGGTTTGCTGCCCTGCTGGCAGATGGAAAAGCGGCTTCACACAGCAGTGTGGAAGGGGATTTTGGTCCCTGTTGCTGAAGGGGGTGTTATGGCTGCTGCTCTCTTTGCGTATGAGTGCAAACTGCCCCTGCTGTGGGAGCACAGCCTGGTCACAACGTCAAGGTGAGATGCAGATAACCTCAATGCATACAATGACCCAGCTCTGTGAAAACCTAGGAGTGTAGCTGCTTGTATAACCTAAATGTACAACTGCATCTTCAGGCCGCTGTGCTATGGAGGACAGCCCAGATGTACTCATGGAACTCCCATCCAGCTTCTGCTTTAAGCCGGCCTTTGGTCCCTCTTGTCAATCCATCCACCAGCCGTGGACCCAGCACAAGGGAGAATTCAGAGGTGGGGGAAGAAACTTTCCAGTGTCAGCAATGCAAGCAAGGCACGGGAAAAGTTGCCAATCCAAAGAAAGCATCAAAATCACCTTAACTCTGGCCTGCAGGTGTGGCCTGAGTGAAGAAGCTGGTCACATTGTCTGAGGTGCCCCTACCTGGGGGCTGTGAGAGCTGGGCTGTGTGCTGAGGGGTCCTGCTGCCCAGTGGGGAAGCTTGGCTCTGCCATCCCACATAGCCACCGCTTGCCAAGTGTCCTTGGAGGCCACAGCCAAGAGTGGGGTGTGGGGGTCTTCACTCCTTTTGTGGTGTGGAGT